TTGGTTTTTGGTGAGGCTCACCTGGAACCCAGCTGAATCTCTCGGTTTTGATGTTTCCATTACAAATATATATCTCGAATATCGTAGCGACTGAAACATGAGGCGGCCTGGTCCAACACATTCAGTTGCCTGAAAACATCAAAACCGAGAGATTCAGTTGGGGTCCAGCCAGGTGAGTCCCTCGAAAAACCAAATTCGTTTGCAAATGAGTGTATATTCGCTAAGTTCGTGCAATTTAGTTTCATTTAGAACATAAGGTTGACGGGAACTAGGGGACTGCGCCTACCTGATGAGCCCAAAGTGGAAGGGCGAAACCGGTCATGGGCTGTCGACGGATTTTCAGCAACCTTGTGAGTAGTGCATTACAAAAGTCTTGTGATTCCCCGAAAGGAACGCAGTTTCGTAGGACTTTCACCACAGCGTTTAGTCCGTGTTGTGTGTGGTCCCCTAGACTGCATCTCAAAAAGGAAAGCCATATACTCTCTTTGTCCTAACGGAATTTATCAAGTGGGTGACTACTCACCGTGTCTCAAAAAGCATCTAACGCCACTCAAAATATGTGTATGAGGTGGGATGGTCTATCCCCGATCAGAAACATATGTAGTCAGGAAGAAGAAACATTTTCTACCTACTCTTCTGAGAAATTGTACTCTAGAAACACCAAGCACACCTTCAATAAGTTAACAAAAAAAAACGAAGTTTGTCTTTCTGCTGAGTGACGGTTAGTAACCTAGCACTGCTCAGCTCTCCCAAATTGGTTTCCCCATAGCAGGAAATGTTTTACATTTTGCTCAGTGCATGACTTGCTATACCTGAATTTTTACCGGAATATCCAAGCGATGGATAGGGTCAGAGAAGCCGGGGGAGGTGCTGTGTGAATTTCACTTCCTCCAACTGAAGGACAGTTGTTATTGGAGAGCATCCTACAGACAGACAGACAGACAGACAGACAGACAGACAGACAGTATGAAACAGGGATTGTTTGTTGGTCGACCTACTGGTCGATGAAGGCGTCTGTTGGGCACCACATCCGCTGCAATTGTGGTGAACTTTCGATGATTGACAAGGGGTGAAGCGAATGGTTATTGATTACCTATTTGTGGGTTCTTGGTCGTTGAACAAAAGATGATAGTATCATCTGGAAGTAAATTTGAAAATCTTTGTTGATACCTGTTTGCCAGAAAAGTCATTGTATCACTCAGTGACTTCTGAGAAAAAAACGGATGAGAAGGCAACACCGAAAAACGTTAGACGATCTCGGGAGAGTGGCTTAGCCTGGTCGAATTGGTAACTAACAGATCTGGACACTTTGCTAAATCGAATTCACCTCCCAAGAGCGTTGCTGTAATAAAAAATCACACACACGGTATTTTCCATTCCAGATAACCTTAGGTGAATTACACTCTGCAGTGTCCACATGGCTGGCTATATTTGGATTTCAAGGTCAGTTTATCCTGAATGTTAGACGACATCATTTGGTTGGTGATCTGGGAGCTACTATCTCCCAAGTATAATATCATTGTAACGGTGATACTGCTGATGGGGAGGCATGCGAGTAGTATGTGTTGTTCGTGGAATTTCGCTTTACGTCTCTTGAAAAAGGGAGATCTGTTGTGGAATTTGTGGAGTCGCTTTGTAACATTTGCTTGGATTTGAGCACTGAATGATTGGAGTCAATGAATATCCAGGAAAGTTCAAGAAGACGCGTTCAGAAGAAGATGGATGTCCAGTTTTTTTAAATAAGATTCAAATGAGAGTTTTGCTTCCCTGTCCAATAGTGTGTAACTGGTCAGTTAGCATTTTCCAATAAATAACTCCGCAGCAAAGACCCTCTTCCTTCCACCATAACAAATCAGTCACTGTATACTTAAACCAGGAGGTAGGTAAGCACTCCGGAGTTGAAAAACTCTGTAAAAGGGTATGCTGGTTTATCCATTTGCGTGGAAGGCTGGCAGTCATAGATATTAACCTCAGGATGCTGGCTAATGTATTTAACCAGTGGTCCATATGGGACGTTACTGGCGAACGTTTTAATACCAGGCGCTGCAGAGCAATCATCGAGTCAACGATCTACACCAAGTCTTTTTCATAGGTAATCTCAGTGGCTAAGTATGATTTATCCCTTTTCCGATACCTTGTAGGCCGTCAGATCACCTTCGGAGAAGCTTTCTCCATCGCAAAAAACGTTTTAATTGGTTATGCGCTTGGGCAGTCAGTTCTCTCGCAAAAAAGGCCTTCCCCCGGAAGAAGTCGAGTCTCCCTGATTTTCTGGAGTAGCCTTCACAGAATAGGGGAACTTGTTGGCCCGTTTATCTTCTACAGCCAATCAGCCGCTGACTGTATGTGGGATACGGTGAATGAACGGAATGTTCTGAATCGGTCTTGGCACAACTCGTCAAATAAACAACTATTCAGCTAGGTGGTTCTCCCATAAGTTCCTGATGTAAATGAGATAAAACGCTGAAGCATTGCTTTACATGTGAAGGAGGATGGAAGGCAAACTAGAGCTTCTTGCAAGGCCAGAGAGAGGTTGGGGGGTTGGATTGCGCGACAATTTTCAACTGAACAGATGTGTTGTGCGACATCTCACGCAGCTATGAACAATTAGAATGACCGTTGCATTCATTGGTACGATATTTGGAAGATGGTTTCGCAAGATGAGGTCTCCGGACTTACGGAACAACAGTTCAATGGTTCTTGGAGTCTAGAACCAGTGTGATCATGAAGTGTCCTAAAATAATGTTTCATACATAGCATGTGTGAGATTTTGTGAGTTTTGTGAGTAGAATCTCAACCGCGGTTGACCCTTACTCCCGGGTTCATGACCTTTCAGTTGGTCAGGATCGCCGGAAGTTGTAGCCAAGATTGCACGTGTAACTCACGCACCAGCTTAACTCTGGATAATGATTGAAGACGCTTCCCTTAGCAAACTCCCCTCTGTCATAGTGCACCGTAGATGTGTGCCAAATTTGACTCGATAGGGGGGTTCCTTCTGAAATTTTGAGAACCACATAGTGTCACACACACACACATGGTCACACCCGTTCCACAATCTGGAAAGGCGTATCTAATCTCTTATTGAGTCAGGCCACAACAGCGATCACTCTGTCATAAACGTGTGCTTGGATTCGAGCTACTTATTCTCTTTTCTCCGTCTCTTGGCCAATTCTTGGTGGTTTATCTCAGCAGTTTATCTGAGCCGCACGTATAAGAAGCATAGGAGATATTGCACTCTTTCGAATCGTACTGCTTGTGTAATGAACCTCTTTGTTTCAATATTGCTTCACACTGAGACAAACCCTTTGAGGTGAGTTTGCGACCGGTAGTATTCCATCACCACTAGCGTCGCACATCTCGCAAGAAATGAACTCAAGTGTAGTGTTTCACCTGTGTTGTGTGCAGTGACTGGAAACTCTACGGAATATCTCTTCTTTCCCAGTATCTAGCGACGCGTTTTGATCAGCTGTGTGGGGTCCCGTGAGCATCACAATCTTACTTTATGAATCTGCTGTTGTCAAAATCCCAGTTTCTTGTGATATTCAGCTAATGTATAAATTGGGTTGTGTAATGCAATTTAAAAAATGAAGTATCGCAAGTGGGCATCCACCTGTTTCCGGCTGAATAACATAATAACTGATCTGAAACATGTTGAATTTCTTGTTCCTCATCCGGATGTAATCAGCTTTCCAGCTGTTATTTGGGTACTCGAAACAGTGACTAGTGTTTAACTTCTAGGATTTTGCCTTTAAATCATGCAACTGTAGGCAAATATAGCACGAAATGTAGGCATCATCTACCGTCTTCAATTTATCATAAGGGAATCCGGTTGGCATGAATGGAAAAAATCGAACGGTTTTATGGTTGTTTACTGAATACTTTACACAACGATTTTGCCTGTACAAGCTAAACTACACTACAGCCTTGGAGTCAACTCGTTTATTATTAGTATTTTCGCTTGTTGTACAGTAGTGTGATGTCGTAGCAGGTCTGGTCTAGGTGTGCAATCGTTTAATACGACCAAACTAGTCTTAATCAACGTTGTCCGCTCGAATAGCAAATAAAATTAGGCTACTCACAAACGCCAAGTAGGCAAGATCAAAAACCTAAGCAGCGCACGATGCTTACATAATTACTCGCCACCCTATTTTTCTCTCGCGAAGGTGAATTTTCGTTGAAGTTTTAGCCGTGCCAAGGTGCTAAGAACGAATCACATAACACAGCGTCAATACATTAATATTTTACCAACCGAGTGCGCAACTTCAAAGGTTGTGTCACGATAGCCCACACTACTGCATCTGGAGGCAATGACTAAGTCATGTAATTTAGATTCGACTACAAACTTCCAACATCGCTTTCTAAAACATATCACACAGTCGTAACTGTGACCGATTGAATGCACAGTTAAAATCAGAAGACATTTCGTCATTCATAATATTTATTTTCCGTTTAAGTGATACGAGCATTTTTGGCCCGAAACTACTAAAATGACAAATAAGGTGCAGCATTTTACAGGTCTGTTTGATTATGATGTACTTAAGACGATAATTTCAAGACATCTGCGATGTTCATTCCTCTTAAAGCAACAGGAAGCGTAGTTGTCAGCAGTCAGAAAAATTAAAGTTTTTCCGATGAGTAATGCAGGGTATGAATACCTTCGCGGCTGTTCAGATACTCAGGGCACAAACACATCTGTTAAGTAAACACGCCGGTAAACACCAAGTCTGTTCCTTGTAGGCAGAGTGGTGTATAGAACCAGATCAGCAGTAAACTATGGTGCTTCATCCTCTAAGCATTCTGAGTGAATGAGAAAGTATGCAGGGAACATGTAGTTAGTCAAGCTATGTTCACTGCATTGTTACCTTTCCAAGATTTCTGTGCCTACCTGAACCGTCTTCCAGGGAATGTCACGGATTCACACTTAAGTTGGTGTACACAAAATTCATGTATCATCAGATTGCTTCCGATATGGTTAGAGCTGTAAATTTTGTCATCTTTTTTAGGTGACAGCGCCACTGAATCCACAAACGAACACGGATTCGAACTTTGATTGTCCTTCGACGCGCCGAGGCATTGCATTCCTTGGACGTTACCACTTCTAACCGTCGGTAACCACATCGAACCGATCTAGGTGAGCGAAGTAAGTCTTTGAAAATTCTTGGGCCCTGGTTGGGATTATTAATTGCTACTGTCCACCCCGTTCGTACTGCTTACAAAGTGAGTTGGGTGCAACGCTGTCGAGTCACACCTGATTGGTTCTGGCGACTGTTGTCCCCCGTTTTGACGCATGCATGCTCGTTGTTCAACCACAAAGGAATCTATTTGCATGTGTGTAAATCGCTTTGGCAGTTATACATGACTTTATCATATCTTTGTGTATTTTGAACTTTGTATATTTTTTAAACTTTGCATTCTTACTGCCTTCCCCGTCTGTACAACTGTAGATTATTTGCGCGGAAACAACAATTCATTGTGAACCTTTGCGTCTTCTGTATTTCCTCCATCTTTCCTATCCTCTCTCGATTGCGGTTTTCTTAGTTAGTACGTTAGCACGGCCATTCGTTAGTCTCATTTATTCCAGCCTGGAGAGGACACTGATGGAGAAGAGCTTGGCTGTCCTGGGTTTCGCTCATTCCAAACCGTATGGTCAACTCGACAAGCTACGATAAGGTGAGCACCTTGTGTATGCACACTACTCAAATGAGCTTTGATTTCTGGTTTTCGCGTCCTTAGCTTTTACTTGAGGGAAATTAATTAAAAAGTATTTGATTACCACTCATTCTGCTTCGGCGAAACGTCTCACTTGCAACGGCGTAACAATCGATACAGAAAATTTAGCTTAATCTACTTTCGAATTAGTCACCTGACAGTACATTTGAGGCCGCGCCTTGTGCGATGCGCAAGGTTAGAGACACCTTGTTATACATTATTGCTCAGAACCGCCGTCTGCAGTCCTAAGATACCTGTGGGTTATGAAATGCTGCCAATGGCACAGAAGCTTAGCATATAGGTCTCGCATGATTCAACTACTGTTTTTATATGTATAAAAAGACCAAGTTATACCGGCCTCGACTTACCCTCCTATTGTTGTTCAACCTCATAGTAGTATCTACCAGGCACACAGGAAGCTGAGTGCCAACCCACGAATGGTTCCGGCACTTTCTCGAACTAGACCTCAGATACCATTGGATCGATATTCCTAACGCCAGTAAGACTAACCTACGCGAATACTGATGCAGCCGCTAATGCTCTCAAGATGTTCACATTTCTTCACCCCAGTTGGTAATCTGAACAGTATCAAACAGGTTCGTGAAATACACTCATTGGCATACCAACTTGGTTTTGACGGGAGACTTACGTGGAACCTAGCTGAACCTATCGTTTATGATGTTTTCAAGCAACTGAATGTGTTGTGATCAAGGTGAATCTGCCGCAAAACCGAATCCGTTTGCAAATGAGCGCATTTCGCCAAATCAAAGTAACCTTCATCAAAGACCGACAGATGGACTACTGTCTGCCAGATTTACTTCAAACTCCATGGGGAAAAATCAATGACTACCTGAATTGTAGTGCTGATCATATTACACCCCCTAGCCGGAAACCGCATGCCATAAGGTAGATCCTGGTGTTCTATAGATCCAGTTGGACACTCAAATTTCTTTACTTCAAAGTCTTCTGTCTACCACGTTCTCAGGATGATAAAAAGTTGTACAACAAAGCT